GTCTTGAAGGTATCCTGGTCGCATGGTGACAAACTTCTGCGCAATCCACAAGTAACAACTACTTGTGGTAAGGACAAGAGGATGTCCAACCTCGCGCTATCTCCAAGTTCTCGAAAAAACACCTACCAGTAGCCAGTGTGTCGGTGAAGAAAGAAGGCGACTGTTGATCTACTAGTAGTACAGCCCATGTAAAAACATGACCACTTTTACAGATGTTGTTTACAAATTTACAAAGGAGTGGAAGAAGTACTGAGAGTTCCCAGGATCGACTTTCTATTAACCTCGGCATTGGAATATGAATGTGTCGTTTTTTTGTTCAGCAATTGCGAGGTTTTTAAACAGCATACATTTACATCGATAGAAAAACAATACAATACAACACTAGCTGACGTTTCGGCAGTATCGCCTTCAGAGCCTGGAAGGGCATGCTGATATACAATCTACTAGGCCAAACGCTTCAATAACACTTACAAAAAGACGAAAAACTCTTTGGTAACTATACGATCAACAACTTCTCGAAAAAACCCACCGTCTTTCGTGACTTCCAATGAAGAAGTTTAGAACAGCTGATTATAGTCGCATATGGTTGACGACTGCACCATCCCACATCAAAAATGCGAACATACGGGATCAGGTCGCGTACGACCTCCGGGCATTCATCCCTGCTATTCATTGTAGGGCTTTTGGCACTGATCCAAAAAGCCTCAATGAGTTTTCGCGCGGGTGTTTTGGACTCCTGTGCAAGGATATTGACTTTTACTTCAAAATCGTTTCCGCTATGCTTTTGGATCCTATGCGTGCCTAGTGGGGTGCTTCGTCTTAGTTTTCGTTTGCCATCTAGGTGTTCTTTTATACGGATACACAAAGGTTTGCCCGTTTCGCCAATATATTCACCTCCGCAATTATTACAAGAGATTAGGTATATCGTACCTGAACTCATGCAATCACCGTCCCTGCCGTAAGGGGACGGGACATGTTGGTCTATCGATTTTAAGGTGCGAAATAACCGATGATTTTAAACCCGCAGCCTTTGCCACGCTGGCCCCAAGTACTGAGACTTTCACGGTATGTGAGACCAGACGGCCTAAGTATTTAAGTATTTGGATTAGCGTACATTTTTGTTGGGAAATAAATAATCATATCACTCGTTTTCTTATTTAGTCACATTGTGAATTCTTCCAAAGTACTTCACTGTTCCATTTTAATTGTTATTGATTTATTCACTCCTTTTATTCCCGTAGATCGGCTTTTACAGTGCTACCCGAAAGGCTGAGAAATGCGAAATTCTACAGAATCACGAAAACACGTGGGCGCTTTTACATAGGTTTTCCGATGACGAATTCTGAGATGAATGCTGGCTTCATCACGTTTTCCACTCTCTTCTGTCTTGGAATAGTGGGCTTTATATGTGGGCGAGTATGTTTGAGGGTTCGACTGTGCCTCAGTGATTTGTGCATTCTCCCTAATAATATGTGAAATATTTGTCTAATATTATTTCTGGTGTAACCTTGAGACAGCCGTATCCCTGCGTACCAAGGTCTTCACCATAAGTAGCAATACGGATTTCTCCAGAAAGACAGCGATCCCAACGGCTTATCAGTTGGGCAATTAAAAACGAGCAACGGACTTATAACATTGCAGGGATTTCCTTTGGAATAATAGGTGATAACAATGAAATTCATCTATTATTCAACTTTTAGAAGCTTGCAAACCTTTGCGTTTTGCAAAACTTCGACACCTCAGCTGGAACTGCTTGTGCTATCATCGAAAAACTTAGAGATCGGCGACTTGAGTGAGTTATCAATGGATGATAGACAACACAACACAATAACACACATACGTTTACTCATAAATGCATATATATGTATATGTATATAAAGTACGGGTTGACTTATGTACATGTATACATACATATCTGTGCAAAGTAGAAGTTGTTATTATTGGAGGCTGACAATGTTTAATTGGAGTGATTAATCTTTGCCTCAGGGGTACAATACCGCCACTCTTCTTTCCCGGTGAAGCTGATACAGAATTGTATCGGGAAACGGCGATCACACAGGAATTTGTGTTTGGTGATGGGGATGCAGGACAAATGGAAATTCTACTTACCAGGTATTCGATAACTCGGAGCAAAGGCCTGAAATCTATGGCATAATGAAGTAGTGGTTAGAATCTCATTGCCGTAGCAAGTCATGAGATAAGCTTAATTCTTAAATGAGATGTAAACGAAGATAGAACGAGGATCTGTGTAGTCTTTGGGTTTAATCGTTTTTGTTGTCTTTTCTCGATAAGTCAGTCACCCATTTCATAAAAGCGTACTGAAATAACACATTTGGTTATAGTATACATATTCCGCGTCAATGTTTTCCTAACTGCTTTCATATTAACGCAAATGATTTGAACGATGTTTGGTGTACACTGTTCTAAGTAAATGCATTCACAAGCAGTGACAAGCTTTATTCTAGAAAGTATAGGAAAGTATAAAATGTCCTACTTCAGATACGCCTTTAATGGAACATTTATGGGTTTTGCTGAAGCCGAATCCGTACTGCATCCGTGTGCACCAAAAGAAGCACGTCAAGCGTTTAAATTCGGTAGAAGGTGGTGTGCTAATTTTCGCTATTACTATTTTCGTTATTTCTGTCATTAGCTCTTATTACTGTCCATTTGTGTCATCTACCTCTCCTCTCATTTGCACTTAATTTGGTATTATGACTATGGACAAAGTGTTAGTTTTTCCTTTCGGATCCAACTGTAACCTAGTTAGTTGTGCTAGCTCGAGGGCAGCGTCTCTTTTAGAATTATATCTTCCTCATGAAGTATTACATTTTCATAAAAAACTCAGAATATGGTACTTTCCTTTGTGCCTTTGGAATTTTGTTTGAAGTCTGTTATAACAAGATAGTAACACGGCTTTTTCCGACACTTGGCGTTAAGACACATTAAGTGAGGGGTCCACTTTTGACATACTTGCTTATGCGTCAGCGTCCTCGACTATTGAACTTTTACATGGATCTTAAATTCCGCTTCGCTGCCTTATTTTCGCCAAATTTCATCATGCTGTGTGTGGCGAACTCGGTTACTTCCATCGATCTGTCGGCTACTTACGTTGCGGCCTGATTGTCAAAGTGTATTAAAGCTGTGAGAATCGTGGGAAAAGAAAGGTTGGTGTTACGCCAGGCATTTTCCATCCTTTTCACTACTCGTTGGCGACCTTGTAAACTTTCTAGCCGCTTATTTATCCCTGTCTAACAGTGCTAAGTCTTTGAGCTATTTTGAATCTTTTACTGAGAACATATAACGCTTAGGTATACTCGTTAAGCGTGAAAGGGACATCGAGAACGAACCCATTCGTCATAAATATTTCTCCCTCGGAGCTGAAAGACTAAATTTGCCATAGATGCTGTTGAAATTGACCGGCATGGTTCCACCAGACTAGTGGATATTGTAAGGTTGGTGTGATCGGTAAAGTGAACATGGTTTAGCTGGCAGCCACAGACCCTACCTTTTATGTTAGTTCATCTAGTTTTCACAAAACGTTTTTTAAAGTTGCTATAAATTAGGCGCAATGGCACGGTATTGACTGATTTTTTTTATAACAGTGAGAATGGCACAATGATGTTGAACAGTTTTAAAAATTGGGATCCTCTGCCAGATTCGAACCTGCGATTACCCTACCACGGCTCACGTGTTAACCACTATACCACTGAGGCCTTCGCTATGCCTTCCTATGCGCCAGTTTCTTATCCTAGCGGTGCCATCAACAGTCACTGGTGACGGGAATGATCTGGAGAGCACAAATCCGCACTCAACCCAGTTAACCTGATGCTGAAGTCGAAATTAGAATGTATAACGTTTCATTTGTTGCTTATAATTTTTTCATGACAAGGTATTATGTGAAATATAACCGTAATGATGCCGAGATATTTGTAAAACTCATACTCCAGGGGTAGTCACGCGTTCGAGTTTGGCCTGTGGTGTGAATTTTGCAAATACCTCGTCCTTCCATGAATGACAATCCTTCGTCCAACGTTCTGCTATACATGTAAAAAATGGTTGCAGTAATGACCTCGCCAACGGTTGAATTCAGGAAGACCAGGCAAACGTGACAAATGTAGTTTCGGTCTTCGTTCTCACAGTGATCAAATTTCATTTGTATGCAACGAAACGAAAGCTTGATTTTCGATAAGTGGCTTGTGAAGAGCCGTGTCAATGTGCTGAAGAGGATTTACTAAAGTTCCTTCCTATGTCAGGTTATAAGTCGGGGTTCGCAGAAAAGAACCGTCGGATTGTGATACAATAGAGAAACGGAGCTCGGAATATAAATCCAACTGTCTCTTGAGTGCCATCCCTGTTTTGGTCTGCGTTTAACTCATTATTTTTCAGTTGCGAACGTATTATGTAGCCTTCCACCCAGCTTATTCTGCATCAATGAAAAAGATCCATAGATTGTTAGACTAATGTAATTTATTGCATTCCAACTAGCCAAGTTCGTTTCTCTCTGGGCATACAAATTCCCCCAAGATTTGTTTGAGGAAGACTATTAGCGATCCACAAAGGCGGATGACTGCCTGTGATGAAGGGCTGCTAACGCTCTGGCAGCACTGTCACGGGACACCAGGAAAATTAGCACGACAAACAATCATTAACACTATTGAAGAAGAAAAATCCTTCGGGTAGCAGCCGAACCGATAAGCAGATTCAGTTCTGCAAGACAAAGGATCGAGTGAAAATGTGGTGATGTTCACACAATTACTAAGACTGGTGATATAATTAAATTAAAAGCAGATGCTACTATCATAACTGTCGTTGTTATTAATTTGCACCATTACTAGTGTTTAATCTAATGTTGTGCTTGCCTAGTTTCGTCTCTATTATCAACGGATACTCCGAAAGGTCCTTTAATTTTTAAGAATAATATTAAAGGTGAAATAATTAGCGCAATAAGTGACGAGGAATAAGTAATAATAAAGATATATATATATTTCAGGTATCACTATATGTGCCATATTTCACTGGAACAGCTCTTCTATAAATCGGACCTGGTATTCTTCGAGGCATTCATAAAGTTCTACGACGAGGGCGGAAGTCCAAAAGTACATTGAAATAGTACTATTTACAAGACAAAACTAATTGAAGCTACCACCAATGTCAGGAGAAGCAGATGCTTTTGATTTGACGAGCAGTATCCTAATTTCTCTGAAAATTTTTTTTCATATAGCATGTTACACTCAGCTTCTTGAAAGTGTTGTATAGAAGACCATGCGACCTACATTTGTTCTAGTTGCCAGCATGATGTCAAAGTATGTAGTGGTAGCACAAGTGAGGCAAGATTACATTTTTTCATAGATTTTTCTTCTATTGTTTCAGATGTATCCTATCGCAGTTTTAAATAGTCTTGTTCAATCCGCTACTGGCATCTATTTGAATAACCAAGATGGCGAAAGGAATAGCTGGGTCCTGACACGGAGATTTTTCTATAGCGATTGTGTATCTTACGCTAGCGAGGTGCCTGGTAGTATCCGCTATGCGAAAGATATTCATTTTCACGTCGAATTGAGTGTAAGTGAAATAAAACTGCTACAGGTGGTAGTAGTGTCGACAGTAGTTTGTTCATGCTAATGTTGTATTGTGCTTGACAAAGTCTAACATTTACATTCTTCCAGGAAACACGAGATGGGTCCATTTTCCCGCCTTACTTGAGAGTCGTTTATGCTGAAACAAACCACAATCGAAGTAATGTCGTAGATACGACGCTGTCAATAACATACGAAATCGATCCGTCACGACACGATCGAGTGAGATAATGATTTCTTACTTCTGAAAGCTGGAAAAGTTATTAGAACATAAGGTGAAATTCCTGTCTGAACTCCAAAAATAGAAGTAGAAAAAACGTTTTCAAGAGAAAACGAAAGGAATACAGTGTTCTTTCATGGATTCATCTCACAACACGGCCTACTCGTTTAAACAATCGGTTTGATGGATAAGCATGTAAGAGACCATACTATGAATTTACGCTACATAGGCATCTTAGGCAATTGCCTATTGAGCGCAGAATGCCACATTCTTTAATTAGGTACTTATATGTGGTCGCTTCGATATGGCTTCGGGAACTCCGACAGTTCTTCGCTCCGTTGTCTTGCAGCCTCTTTTTCTAGTGAGGTGACAGAGTTCGGATACGGCTTCACCTGCATCTTTGGACTCGATTACGCTCTCTCTTATTTGGATGTTGAAGTCTGGTCAAATGCAATTTATCCTCGAATCCAGAGATACCAAGCAACCTCAGGTCCTCGCCACTGGCAGTTGCGTGGCCCTTCAACACAGCTACCGTGTGCATTGCGGTACTTCCTGCATTCGATTTGTTTTTCCACGCATTCGTCGTTCGGATCCCCGAATTTATCGCTTTTGGGTTTTGCTGCTGCTTGAGGATTTCGTCTTCTTAATGAGTGTCGTAGAATGCTGGTGGAGTCGGTTGTTCTCGCAATCTTGAAGATTGGCAGGTCAAGGCATTCCGTCGTGAATTGGAGATGAGCGTTGTGGAGGGAGTTGAATTAACACCAAATCGTCAGAATCACTAAACACTGCTCTACTATTTCATAGAGCTTGGTTACTACCGTTCATCAGTGTTCACTGAGGTGGACGTTGTCGAATGCTATACCTAGGCCTTCGAGCAGACAACAATTTTCGCGACGCACTTTTTACTGGACTTGTGATTGAGGTTTTGTCAATTACGCTTGTTGAGAATTATTCTAGCATTTCTGGTTTGTTAATAAGGGTACACTACGATTCCGTAAAATTTTCGACGTTGCTAATTCTTTGGCGGCATGGTCTTCGTCAAAGTCGCAGCTGATCGGATCGAGTCCGGTGCCCGGAATGCTAAATTCTCGCGTTGGTTTCCGCAATCGCAAGGAGTTCATTGAAGTGGTGTTCAGCATCACACGGATAAAGTGACTTTTGCCGGTGGTGCTCTTTTGAAAGAGACAGTTCTTGTAGGTCTAATGAAGTCACAAATGTCTTATAGCTACAAACCATCTAAAGTTGGTCTGATTTCTACAGTGTCTACATCCTAGTGCAACTGTATGCATTCGGAACATAATAATGGACAGCAATAAACCAAGAACTGTCATATGTAAAAGTGCAGCCTCGGATGAAGCCGCTTCACTCGTTTGATGCTTTACTGCATTTAAGTGAACTCGATGCTGCTGTGAAGCTCCAAACGCAGGACTGTACTACTGTGATTAATCAACTCGGATTATTATTGATTTGGTTAAGTCGATAATCCGAAAATATGGATTATCCATGTTGGGATTAAATGAGGTCTAAACTGGAAATCACTAGAATACTAAAAGGCATATTTTTATCGAGGTCGCTGATTCGATCTAATACCACGGACTCACCAAGCACTCATCGTTCCGTGGTCGCCAAATTGGTACCGTAATTATGTGTGAGGATTAAAACAATAAGCATAAGCAGCAAAAGCAGCAATAAACAGCCTAATAATCCAAGAAGGCAAGTGTTATTAAAACCGAGGTTAAATGACGGTCGGTTTGGAAAATAAATCAATATGGAAAGATCAAATGGCTAGTGTGAAAGTCATTGTATATGCCGAGTATGTATTCCAACATTTCTGCGATGCTATGGATGGAGTCAAACTCATGACGCTCCCTTATAGTCCTTTCATATTGTAATGTTAGATATTCCACATTGTATTATGTCTGATTTCGAAGCCCTAATTACGTTTTCAAAATACATAGTTTTTCTGAAGGCTAGAAAACCCAGACGTTATTTTTAAACTATCTGGTGGTTATTCACTTTAGAAACTGGAAATAACAATGGCTATCTTAGGACCATTATCCGTTCTTTGGACGGCTGTAAAAGCATACAGGTAATCATACTTTCTTGTTACTTGAACGGCTAGTCCTCATTGGTTGTGGGGGCCCAATCACTATTTTCGGAGCTTTGCTAGTTAAGCCATTGTGGTTCTCTGGAATCCCGAAGTCAGCCTGGCCAAAGTCTGCCCCAGGTCGTCACCACCACAGGCAGTCGCAGCCCTTGTGGATCAGAGGGAGATTTGCCATCATGCAAGTTTGATACAAGGGTGGTGCTGGATCCTGATATTGGTTTACTCATAGCTAGGCTTCCTGTTGGAAACGCCGGACTCTTTCTCAGCTTGGGAGACGCCGCCAGCGGTGTGAATCCCCCGCTTTACCAGTCTAGCACCCAGGAACACCTCCCAGCCATGATGAGGCGGTAAACCGTTGGGAGGATATATATATATATATATATATATATATATATATATATATCCTTCCAACGGTTTCATAGAAGGTTTATTTGTTGCTGTGGCAGATGTCTTCTGTATATTCAATAGATTTGTCCCAATAGAAAATTTTGTATCAAGTTCAAAATATACCCACTTTCTAAAAACTTTCAGTTGGGGGCGGCGTAGCGGCAAGGCGTCTCTTCTGGACACCCACACCGCAATCCAATTTGTGCTCTTCGAATTTTCCGTCCTTGGAGACGTGTTTTTAGTCGTGCTTGCCGCAATGTCGTGTTGGATCACGTTCGCATACAAATTGCAGAGATATCCCTTCTACAATATGCTCAACGAACGTCAAGTTAGTCTGCGTCTTTCTTCTTTAAGGGCTGTATGGAGTAACTTTTGAGAGAAACCTGAGACTTTTTCACTGACCTGAAGTAGAACACGAAACTTTATTCAAAATCACTGTCGCCTTGCAAGAATAGAATAAAAGCCTCATTGCAATTGCAATTTGTTTTGTAATAAAACTCAGTAGCATTGATTCCTGTGTAGGAAGCGACCAGTGAGTTAATCAAAAAGCAATCGGCTCTGAAAAGCGTCTGAACACAATTCAAGTGAAACTTTCTCGAAAATCAGCAAATTGCTCGGTGTTGGTTTATCTCAAACTACTACAGGAAACCTTGTCGAAGATTCTGCTATCATATTTATTCCGGTTGCTTTCTAAAGAGGGATGGTTACTTAACTCGAGTTGTTTGAAAAATGTTCTTAAAATTCGTTCTTTCCTTGATAACGAAGAAACGGGATGATTAAAAGTGTAAATCTTTAATCCTGTATTCATTGATTGCCTTGCACTAATTTTCAAGTGAAGTTTATTTCGGCTGAGTAAACACAGCTTTTTCTCATTACAGTAAATCCACGAACAGACTTAACTAACCAATGTCTTTACTTTCATTTAGTGCCTTTTTTTTCCTGGGAATGTACAATGTTGTGAGCTACAACACCAACTGATCCCCTTGCTTTGCTTTTCTCTCAGCCATTACTCTATTGGTGTTAGCAGCAATCACACATGTAACCACAATGGTACTGAGATATTTGCAAAACTCCAGACTTCAGGTGTCTGCGGTAGGGAAAGAACGAGCTATTATCCTTTTCGGGGGCTAACGGGTTTACCACTACACCATGTGGCCCTTCGTTTCACTTCTTTCTCAGCTAGTTCTGTCGATCAGTGCCATCAGCAGCCATTCATCAGCTTCCATCGGCAATAGGAAGTAGCTGAGAGACAGGCGAAACAAAGAACCCGCTTGGTGTGGTGGTAGTGGTGAACGAGTTAGCCCCACAAAGGGTAATAACGCGTTCGTTCCCCGCCGCAGACACCTGCGGTCCGGAGTTTTGTAAATATCTCAGCACCATTGCAGTTGTATTTCGCATAATATCCTGCCATAAAAAATTATGGTAGGCAGCAAATAAAAAGTTAATATTGTAATCACCCGTATAGCTCACGTGGTTTCCTGTCATGAAAAAAGAGTAGGCAGTGAATAAAAGGTGAGAGATTGTGATTTCGATTGCACTTCTCTTAACTAGGTTCACTGCTGATTTGTGCTCCCAGATCATTCCCATTTACGGGATGTTGCTGATAGCACCGTTAGAGTGGAAAACTGCCTAAGAGGAAGGAAAAGCAAAGGCCTCGGTTGGTGTTGTGCACAGCACGTGTGCTCTGAGTAAGGATAATTGCGGGTTCAAATTCTAGGTGATGTTACGATCTTTGCTAATACCTTGGCATTCTTGTAGTTAAGAAACCAGTGCTCAAGAATTCGTTTACCCTATTTAGGAGAAGTTTGAGGAATATGTATGGAACTCATTAGAATTTCAAAACGCATGCTTTCAATTGCAGGAATGGGTGATCATGGCCTATATAATTGCTACACTGTGTTTGAAATTCATCGCATTGATCCACACAATAATTCATATGGTACTACAAGAAACTTTTTTTATCGACTGGGAACGATCGCAAATCATCGAGGTGACTTTTTGGCCTTGGAATCTTTTGCAGCAATATCATAAATTCCACGATTCAACAAAGAATTGATCAGTGGTCATTGACACTTTTTCTGGATGGTTTTAGAATACTCAGCTGGGTCATCCGGCTTCGAGAGACGTGTCCAAAGATCGAAAGGAGCTCCCAGTTGTTGTCTGGTTAAATTTTATTCGGTTTTTTCTTATAATTGGTCATTTAAACCGCAATTTCCACTATCCATCGCCTATCCAACTACCGAAACCTTTCGGTTTCTTCTAGGCGCACGTATCTTGTGGCTAACGAATGGGCTGAATTGAGCTGCGTGAGAGCAACTTGCGTAAGCCTTCAGCTTTGTATCGTTCTAATGTTGCTGGAAGCTTTCGACTTCATGCGGTTCAGCATCGTCCAGCCGGGTTTCGGTGACGGTGAGCGTGTTTCTTAAGTAGCAATTATCATTTATTTTCATGTTCATACTACAGGCTCTGCTTCTGCTGAAGCGACGAAACTAACTCGGTTCGCGGTTGTCATCTTCTTCTATCTCGTTGTCGGCTTTCTGCAGTGGATTTTAGGGGTTCAGTTTAACTTTATTTTTAATGGAACAGAGATCGCTGGAAATTAGAAAACATCCTTTCTTAAAGTTTTTACAGATTGCTGTTGTGGAGCGAATGATAACGGATCCTTTTCGTAATTTCATTGATCTTTGTTCCGTTGCCAACATAAGGTATGGTTTTGTATACATATATATATATATATATATATATATATATATATATGTATATATGATGCATTGTTTTAATAACATACAAAGTGCAGAATACTATTTGTAAAATATTCTGCCTCATCTGAAATTGCTCTAGATTTGTGTGAAATGTGAGAAAGAAAAGAACGTCCTTGAACACTTTTTTCCACCTAATGTACCCTCAGAAAAGGATAACGCTCTCGGAGTTGATATATCCCTGAGAAATGTGCCATGCATTTGACCTTATCAGGTATCGTTGGAGGTGATTGAATGCATATCTGGCCTTTACAATGAGTCATGGTGATGCCGATGTATCGACTCAGTGTTGTTATTCTCCCAGACAAGTCCGGTATCAATTTGCACATCCCGTAGGGATGGAAAGTTTGATGGGTCAGGGGGGCGTGGATTGATCCCATTTGTGTAATGCAGGGTGCCTCCGACCGTAGCGGCACACGCGCCATATCTTTCCTAAATAAATTCCCAAATTACACCTGGAGGTAAATAGCAAACGAAAAAAATATTCTGAAACGACTATTAATTAAATTCCTAGAAGAGCTGTCTTCAATATTATGGTGGGCACAGTGTTTTTATCCTTATTGCTCTGTATTCTACCTTAAGTAATATTAATTGCTGACTGGATGTGATTTTCTGTTGAAGCACAAGTGTCCATATTAACGTGTTCTCGTCTTTTGTGCATTCGAGAAGTGTTGTTTTTACGAATCAGATTCGCACTACACGATAGGAATTATTATAACGGCAGTGTAGCCTCCGATTAGTCAACCGATCGTTCGCAGATGATTTAGTAAGCTGAATCCCATTTCTAGGAGGAACCTTTATTCATTTTATTGAAGTGTTTCTTGATCTAAACTCCAGGAAACATTTATTTTTCAGGAAGAAAAAGTGCAGTTATGACTTAACGCAAAGTGTGTGATGATCTTTTCAATATTTAACATATTACTTACTGCCTATTGTTTTTAACGGCAGGGTATACATTGTAAAATATAACTTCAATGATGTTGAGATATTTGCAAAACGATAGATTTTTCGATAGCACTAGCTGAGAGACAGGCAAAACGAAGGACCCGGATGGTGTGGTGGTGAAGTGCGCTACTCCCCGGTAAGGACAACAGCGCGTTCGTTCCCCACCGCATACACCTGCGGTCCGGAGTTTTGCAAATATCTCAGCATCATTGAAGATTTTTTCAGTGTTATCGCGCTAACCCATCCTCTGCACGGTTACTATATCCACGGCCGTTCCGTACACGGAAGAGCAGATACTGGAATGGCTGAAATGAATGAGTTTTTGCAGAAGGAACGAGTGGGTTTGTCAAAAAGTGACACGATGTTTTCAACAAACTGATATGAGTGCCGAAAAGTGACTCAATACTCCTTCAGGATGATCTCTGTGGATTTCGCGGGCTTGAAAATAGCTCACATCTTCAAACGTTCTCCATTAATCTTCCTATGGCATTTCGAAGTCGTTATGACGAAATTATGTCACAAATAAGGAATATCAGCTTTCAAGTGCGAATGAGCGGTTCTGATCATACAACAGCCAAGGTGTGTTTTAACATGTAACTTGAATAAGGCGGATTTAGCATCCCTCACTTAGATTGCGACTATCGCTCGAATACACGAACAAATGAACAAATTTCTGCGAGAGATGGTCGAACATTCAATAACCGACGTTGACTATGTAATCAGGTATGATTAGAAAAAAATTTCGATACACCGTAATCACCGATGAATTCTTTTCAATCCATGAAAACGTGAGCTCACATTTCAGTCTCTGACATCGAACCGTTTTCTTGAGTTAAAAAATAAAGCTCTTGGCGTTGATCAATCAGTGAGGTATACGCCGTGCATTCGACTTCATTAACCATAGTTTGGAGGTGATTGAATGCATATCTAACCTTTACAATGACTCGCGCTGGCCTACTGATGTATCGAGCCAGTGCCACTATCCTCCAAGACAAGTCTAGTACCAATTTGCCGAAACCGGAAGGATGGAGGACTTGATGGGCCATGGACGCGGAAATGGATTCCACGTGTGTTGAAGGGGGCCTCCGACCACTGCACCACACACGCCCGTTTTTGAGTTGTGACGGAATATACCATAATTATAATTTATTTTAGTTTACATAACCAAAATACAATTGTCGTTTAACATTATTTAATCCTTTAGCGTCCTTTGAAATTAATAAGCTCAATGTGTTAATTTTTTTCAATTTTTCTACCTTCATCAATCGCCATCTGTTATCATTTCAATCGCACAGGGATCGTTCGTTCGTTGAGGCACTACTAGACATTGAGCTCACCGATACAAGTCACACGGGTGATTTTCTCAGGTTAGTCGCCCATAATCTATACGATAAGGTACCAGTTAAAAGTTCCCACAGTTTTCCTTTACCAATAAGCTTATGCGCGCTTGCCACGACTTTTTCCTTCAAACAATCTCACGTAAGCAAATCAATAAACCAAAACACTGCCTATCCTTGTCGAGGTCAACAGAAGTCGAGATTGGAGGTTTCCTTTGCCATACGAAAATTAGTGACAGTAGAAGATCTCCCTGCGATCATGAGTGTTTCAAGATTATTCGCCACTGACATTCGCCTTTGTTTTAGGAATAAAGTCTTAGAATTACCATGCTTCTGTAGACGAAATGGAAATCTGTGAGCGAAAACACATGCGACATCAAATATTATATCATTATTTTCATAGAGTCAGATAATATTCGACCCCATGAATATTCTTTTTTCTAGGGATTCTTCAGAAGTTGGCTTCTCCAACTGCTTTCTATACGGCCGTGAATGGGCTCATCTTTCTTTTGAAGCGATGCTTTTCGTCGTCTCTTATCTGCTTTTCGATTCACTGACGTTAGCCGCTGCAATTGTATTTTGTGTGTCACGTATCATTAGTGAAATCACATCACTTTTGTTTATAAATCATCTAGTGAAGGGTAGCCTTGTGGACCATCGGTTCCTGATATGAAGAGCTCAATCCTCCTGACTTACCAATGAATACTATGTTTTATACGGATGCACCGTGTAATTGTGCCGTCGTGAAATTCATTCAACATTCGCAATCCTCCGTGTACCAACTTTGCAAAAATCACGGTGTGATTTGAATATGCGCCCGTAACTTTTGAGTTATCATTCGTCACTTTCATTTGTCAGTATTATCCATTAAGTTTTACTTGTTCGAGAGAGAAAAAGGATAAAAAGGAAAAGAAGGATACAGCTCTCGGTGCTGATCAATCCCTGAGGGATGCGCCATGCATTCGACTTCATTAAGTGTCGTTTGGAGGTGATTAAATGCATATCTGGCCTTTAAAATAACTCGCGGTGGCTTACTGATATATCGAGCCAGTGCTCCTATCCTCCCAGACAAGACTGGTACCAATTTACCGATCCCAGAGGGATGGAAGGTTTGGTGGGCCATGGGCGTGGGGATCGATTCCATGTGTGTTGTATGACGCCTCGGACCACTGCGCTACACGCGCCTTATGCTAGAGAGATACGTAAAGAAATCTTCTGCATAAAAGGTTTCCGTAAAGAATTCTAAGCATCAAGTTAATGGACTTCTAGTGTTTGGTTTGCAACACATGAACTCAGTTCCTCCCTCATTTGTTTGATACTGGATACTCAAAAGATAGTCCTTTCGACTGCGCCTTCTATCCAGCTAAGTGGTCTTTCATCCTACTTACGTAGCAACCAGCTTTCTGCCGCATACGTTGAGGCAGCATGAATCATGGATGCGAAGAGACGGACACGGAGTCAGACGTTTTTCGTCTTCCTCATTGCATCCTAGATGCTCCGGAATGCTCACCAAGCCGCTTGCTTCCTCCAGCTCAACTCTGCAGCTGAGCCGTTTGTCATGTCGATTTCACCGTCTAGGCAAATGTAGCTGAGGCATTTGTAGATGTGCACCTCTGTGAGTATGAATGGGCTTCCGAAGCGAATCTGTTCCACATCAAAATCGTTTTTGTGAGACTTAGTCAAAGACCAATCAGAGATCAAAGACCAAGCGTTTGGCCTAGTAGATTGCATATCAGTATACCCTTCCAGGCTCTGAAGAAGGCGATACTGCCGAAACGTCAGCTAGTTTTGTATTGTATTGTGTTTTTTTTTATGGAAGTAAATGTATGCTGTTTAAAAACCTCGCGATTGCTGAACAAGAAAACGACACATTCATATTCCAATCATTGTGTTTTTTATGGAAGTAAATGTATGCTGTTTAAAAACCTCGCGATTGCTGAACAAGAAAACGACACATTCATATTCCAATGCCGAGGTTAATAGAAAGTCGATCCTGGGAACTATTAAAAGACCAATCTTTTCAGAAGAGTTAGCAAAATCGGCAAGCATTGGTTCGACCTGGTCAATGTTTTTTGTTTTAACAGCGATGTTATCGGATAAGCGAAGATTGTGTGATTGCCGACCATGTTGCTTTATTTCAATGTTCACATAACGTCTTGGAGGGTACCAGGAAATAATTCTCGCGGGATGGGATCGTGTTGTCGAACCATCCCTTTACGTTGAAGTTGATATCGTTATAGAATGACAATATTTTGTGAGATTTTCATATACTCAAGAAGAATCTTTGTATACTGAGTTGTGACACGCTGGTTGTCCAGGCTGTCCACGAATGTTTCTCTGTCAGCTGGGTCAAAAGCCTTCTTCAAGTCTATGGAAGTGGGACAGAGTGGTTTTTTGCGCCTTCGCGGCTTCATTGAGTCGTGTTATTGTGTGGATGTGATCCGTCTCATTTAATTCTTTTTCGAAACCCTGGTCGCTCACTTGGTTCTCTTTCGCCGTGTTCTGTTCACAATATAATGAAATTCCCTTGCCCTAGAAATAAAAAATTTTTAGGGAATGACTACAACGCCTCCTAGCAGTAATCACTAAACAGACCATAAATGAAGATCAATCAATTTTCCATCTTTAAAATATATGGCAGTATTCCTCACCCTTGTATTCCCCATTCCTATAAAAAACAAAATTTAACAATATGCTCGTCTATTCGGGAAAGAAATCTATAAAAAGGATAAGCGATAGAGCTCTCTAAGTTGATCAATCCCTGAGAGAGGCGTCATGCATTCGATTTCATTAGGTATCGTTGGAGGTGATTGAATGCATTTCTGGCATGACTCGCAGTGGCCTACCGATGTATCGAGCCAGTGGTGCTATCCTCGCAGACAAGTCTGGTACCGATTTGATGACCCCGGAGGGATGGAAGGCTTGGTGGGCCACGGGCGCGGAGATCGACATGCGTGTCCAATCACTGCGCCACACGCGTCCCTAGGATAAAGAAGAGCGGGAGGAAATAGAAAGAAGAACCTGGCAAAGAATGTATGAAACTCAATAGGGATTGCACCTTTTAGAATAAGAACTAAGAGCGACGAAGCAATGTTTCTGGTTTTTCCAATAAAAAATGCGAAGGTTTCCCTTGCTTTATTGATGTCGGCAGTATTTCAACTGATTGAGCAATTTTTGCTTTCAATTCAGGCACACCCGAAGACGTTTACACCGTCTCATAAGTTCTTATACCTCGGCTCATAATAAAGTTTCCAAATAAAATAAAAATACAGTAGAGAAGTTTTAAAAGTCTAAAGATCTTCTCCTTCAAGGTGCAATCTTACTTACTCGAACATGGAAAGAATTGGATCTTTAGAAGAGTTTGAATTTCAAATAAACCTAAATGAAGACTACACTTTATAAAAACTGCTACTCTTTCGAAGTAATAGATCAAGGTCTCCTATACAATCAAATTAAGTTTTTAGCTTTGTAAATCTTCTAGCTGCCGAAAATTCGTAGCAGTTATAAGAAAACCAACATTGTCTCTTATCTAGTTGGCATAAAATTGAAATTTTAACAAACCTTTCATTTCTTTTCACAACAATTCCCCTTTCAATTGCTATCATGGCCGTCTTATGGAATAAGCAGAAACAGAATATGCTGAACTATGCTTAACGTGGGCAGGTTTGGCGCAGTGGTTAAAGGCGCCACTGCGACATACACGTGGAATCGATCACCGCGCTCATGGCCCACCAACTCGTCCATCCCTCCAGGGACGGTAAATTTGTACCAGACTTGTCTAAAAGAAAAGCAACACTGGCTCGATATATCGGTAGGCTACCACGAACCATTGTATGTGCATTCAACCAGCTTCAAACGATGCTTAATGAAGTCGAATGCACAGCGCATCCCTCAGGGTTTGATCAACGTCGAGAGCTTTATCTTTTTGTCTTTTCAATGCTTGACGTATGTTATAAAACCCCTCTATGTTGTAATAGCAATGAACGTTGCAGGTGAACTGCAAAAAAATGTAACAGTTAGTGGCAAAATTATAACTATAGATGAATAAATCCTCTTTTTTAAATATGTAGTTTTTCAGGCTTAGAAATCCTTTAGTATCGAAAATTTAACAACTGGTCGAGGACACAAAATTGGTCTAATTACCCAAGTTTGAGATGGTTAAGGGTATTCAGGCTTCCGGTAAGAAGCACGTGAAGTCACACACGCTGTATAAGTTGTGTGGGGGCTCGAGCTTCCACATACAGAATAAGCGGTGTGCATCATGTGGGTATCCGGATGCTAAGAAGCGGAAGTACAACTGGGAAGCGAAATCGACCCGTAGAAGGACGACAAGACTAGAGTTGCCGCGTTCAAATCGCGGAAGTGTTTTTGCTGTTTTTGTAACCTCCGTAAAATCAATTGTGGTCACCTATACGTTAAGATTTTTTCTAATACAGAGATATTATGGCAGAGTGGCAGAGATATTATGATGTAGGGATCCCAATAAATATTTCTCTACATGATGCTCAATTACGTTGTTTTCGAATAAAGGGTAATGGGTAAAGCTCTCTGCGTTGATCCCTGAGGGAAACACCGTGCATTCAACTTTATCAAGCATCGTTAAAGGTGAATAAATGCATGTCTTGTCTATATAATGGACCTGTGGTGGCCTACTGGTGCATGACATCAGTGCAGTTGTCCTCTCAGACAAGCCTGATAGAAATTTACTGACCCAAGAGAGATAGAAGGTATGATGAACCAGGGATGCGCGATGGAAAGAGCAACCACGTATTGCAAAGCACCTCTCTCCACTGCACTACACGCACTAGGGTGGAAGAAGAAGATTTATAGAGATACCAATATTTGACAAATGTAGAGTGGATAATCGACTAACCAAGACTAGTTGCATCGTCGTTGGCACTTTTCGTCACACAAATAGTGGCAAGTGTTCAAAAAATATTAAAAGGTAAGGCTAAAGGACAAAGCTTTCGGCATTGATCAATCCTTGTGGGATGAGCCATGCTTTCGACTTGATCAAGCATCGCTGGAGGCGACTAAATACATATCTGGCTTATACAGTGACTCGTAGTGGCTTATTGATGTATCAAGCTAGTGCTGCTATCCTACCAGACAAGTTTGGTACCAATTTACCGCCGACTCCGGAGAGATGGAAGGCTTGGTGATCCCCGGGAGCGGATATCGATCTCATTGTGTGTATTGAGGGACACCTGCGACCACTGCACCACACGCGCCCTTAAAAATGAGAAAATACATAAGAAAATTTAGAAGAAGGGTGGAATGCGGAAAAGTGTTAAAATCAATAATTTTTTTATTTAATTTTTTTAAAAATATTTTTTAATTTAATTTTTTTTAAAAATTTTGTTATGTTTGTACGTACCGTCTTCACGTTTCTTGTGTGGATACCGACACTTCCTATATTCGATTCGTTTCCTCGCATTCATCATCTTCGACGGTCTTCCAGCTTTCACGTGTGACTTCTTCTGCTGCTTGAGGATTTTCACTTCATCTTTGATGTCGTAGAATGAGTGGTCGAATCGATTCTCTCTGAAGTCCTGAGATAGCCGAGCTAGAAGGCTCACAACTGGATTGCAGAGAGTGATTTTTCACGAAGTGCTTACCAGTTTCCCGACAAGGGATAAAAGGTTTGGTGTGCCCGGAGTGAGATTGAACCAG